AACAATTTTTCTTGGATCTGTAAGAGAAGGGAGGATGTGGGGCACATAGCTGCCCCAAGATTAGAGAGAGACACAGGCAAATACAGGGAGCACTGGCTTCTCAGAACAGAGATTCATGAATGGAAACTGCTCTGGGTACCAGTCCCAGGGAGGAAAGCCTGAACTATAATTGACAAATTGCTGGAGAATCAGTGTGGAAAAGGCTGAGAATAAAAAATTCCAGAAGATCCAGTCATGGGAAACTCCCACAATTTTGTGAGGTTTACCTCTAGGAGTTCAACCATATTCTTATAATGAATATTGGAGAAAAATCCCCTCATGCTTCTGGCAGGGGGAAGGGAAAAGAAACCATTTTGAAATATGCCAGTGTATTCTGTTCTTCTTAACAAGGTTAGCCCTTAGTAAGAACTAGTTAACCAGAGCCTTAGCTCTCGGGGTATTAGCAGAGCCTAACTGACCTAGAGGAAGGGGAATAACCAACTCCAGCTCCCTGTAGCCATCTGACCTACCTAATGGGGAAGGAAAAAACTGAGAAACAATTATGAAGTTCACAGTCCAGAGGCATAGGCTCACTAAAAGACAGAGCTAATCAGGACAATATAATGCTTCCCCTCCCCCCAAACCTTAGCACCATATTACTAGAGGCCTATTTACAGTAGCTATTCTTGCCCAATACATCATGTCTAGCTGTCAAGTAATTGCAAGGCTTACTGAAAATCAAAAACATAATTTGAAGAGGTAGCATAAGCATAAGAACCAGCCATGGCAGGGATGTTAGAATGATCAAACCAGGGATTTGAAACAACTATGATTAACATGCTAAGGGCTCCTCTAATGGATAGAGTATACAGCATGCTAGATCAGATAGGCAATGTAAACAGAGAAATGAAAATCCTAAGAAAGAACTAAAAAAGAAAATAAAATTGCTAGAGATAAAAACACTGTAACAGAAATGAAGAATGCCTTTGATGTGCTCATTAATAGACTGGACATGGCTGAGGAAAAGAATCTCTGAGCTAGAGGGTATATTCATAGAAATGTCTAAAGCTGAAAAGCAAAGAGAACGAAGATAACAAAGACTGAAAAAAAAAAGGAACAGAATATCAAAGAACTGTGAACAACTACAAAGGTATAACATATGTGTAATGGGAATACCAGGAGAAGAAAGAGAGGAACAGAAGAAATATTTGAAACAATAATGACTGAGAATTTCCCCAAATTAATGTCAGACACCAAACTACAGAGTCAGGAAGCTCAGAGAACACCAAGCAGGATAAATGCAAAAAAAAAAAAAAGGACTATGCCAAGGCATAGGACATTCAAACTAAAGAAGATCAAAGATAAAGTTCTGACAGAAGTCAGAGAACAAGAATACCTTATCTATATAAAGGAACAAAGATAAGAATTACATCTGACTTTTCAGAAATCATGCAAGAAAAAAAAGAGAAGTAAAAATTTAAATTGTCGTTAAAAAAATACAAGCATTCAGTAGAGTGCATACTAACAGAACAGGATTTGCTAGCTCTGTGTAGCCAGCCCCTCTTTGTGTGTAGTTTGTTGGAGCTGGAAGGGGAAGGGGAAATTCAGAAGACTATGGTTGTGGCTCATAGTGCCTGGGGTAGTAGTGGAGGAGAAAGGGCCTGGATTGAGGGAATAGAGAAGTGGTGGCCACTATAAGGATACCAGAGCCAGAGTGAGTGATCCTCCGGATGGGATCCAGGACAAAACAGGGCTCAAGCCAAAGAGGAAGCAGATGTGAGGTCTTTCTGATTTTGGGTCCTGATTGAGTTTGGAGAGAGGTGGGAAAGCAATCATTCATTGCTCTTTTCTTATTCACATTTTGGTCTCCCCTAAAACAACTGAAATGAAGAAAAAAAGAATAAGTTGGGGAAAAATAACAAATTAGTAGGAAAAAAACTGTATTAAGTTACCATAGGACTTCTGTGAGGTTAGCATTTCTCCTTCACATCTTCTCTTTCGACCCACCCAGAAGGATCCTAAGTCATTAGAAAGCTTAGTCAGGAGTCATTAGACTTTATCATAATCTTAGCACATTTGATCTGATGGCTCAAATGTATAATTATTTAATTTGGAAAACAAGAATTTATTCACTTGATTAAGCTAATGGTGTTGTAATAATATTCATATGATCTGGAATGATATAAAGCTGATTTGAAGTTATTTCCTTAAGTAGAACTTTTATAATAGAATAATTTCTGCTGAAAACATAAGAAACTATAAATACTGTGTTGTATACATATGTTAGAAATTAATAGCAATTGCTGAAAAATTATTTCAATACCCATTAGAATTCAGCATTAAAAAGAATTTAAAGTACTGTTTCACCACAGATAGAAGATAGGTGCTTCTTTCTAATTGGATTGTGGTGCATTTTTCTTAGAGCTAAACTGCAATGCTATGCTCATATATAAGCACCTCCCATTATCTTTGACTAGCTTTCAAAATGGAAATCTCTCCTTTTTTGCCATTATATTTAGTTGTTTATTGTTTGTGTGATTTAACCAATTCTACCAACTAGAAGAAATGTTTTCTTTTAAATNCACAGTGCTTTCTTCTTGTACTATTTCCTGGGCGACCCAGACCCAGATCCAGAAGGTGGTTTGTTCATAAAATAAAAGAAGGTGTGTTTAGGCTATGGTACTTCAGAATATGTTAAGCCTGTTTTGGATTCCAATTCTGTAAACCGACTTTGGGATACATAAAAAAGAAATGCATCTAACAGACCCTACACTGGTGGTAGAGTAACAAGGCTATGAGCTGTTGTAGAGTTAGGCAATATCTAAATTTTAAAATTTGTTTTCCAATTAACAAATTACATGGCTTTGCCATTATTCTCAGCCTATGGGTAGATATGTTTTATTCTTTATACTACCTTATTGTTTATTTTGCAGATCCGTTGTTTATTGTGTCAAGTGAGAAAGACCAGGCACAGGCAAATATCCAAGCCATCTTGCGTCGCAGCAGACTGGTAGGTCTAATTCCTCCACTAAAGCAGCCTGATGAATCTGAACCATCTAATTTGACTAACTGCACTGATAAGATTGACTTATCAACAAATCTCCACTGGATTTTGTATTCTGCAGAAATTACTTTGCCATGATTACTAGGAGATAAGGCATCTTGATACTTGTGGCCAATGTGAGGATTAATTAATTGGTAGTGCACAAAGGACTCATTTTAACCTAATGTATTTCAATGGAAAAAGTAATATATGCCTGTTATTAAAAGAATTCAAGAAGTACAAAAGCAAATACAGTATGAAGTAAATTCTAACCCTCTGTCCCCTTCATATAATCGTCTATTGTCATCAGTTTCTTGGGTATCCTTCTAGAGATATTCTATGCATATACCAATAACCTTCTTTTCTATGCCATATGCAGTCTTTTGTACCTTTTAAAAATGTTTACAATATAAGTAAAATGCTTTAAAAAATCTGATGGTATAATATTGTCTTTTTTCTCCCTGCCTCCCCGTCCTAACATTAGAGAAAAGTTCCCAGATTTAAAGCCATGTTTAGTAACCTGATCCATTATCCAAGATATTCTCTGTATTGGAGCAAGGCAGATCCCGTCCCACGATTCATCAGTCGGGAATGGACGGGACAGGAGGAGAAACACAGAGAAGCCCTCTGGCAACTTGCTGCGTAAGTGAAGTAGCTTCAGCTGCTACTTATGTTTTTAATGATGCATTTTTCTTATTAAAATATTTATTTATTCTGCATTATTTTAAAATGTACAATTGTGATGTTATACCTATGCCAATTGACCCCAAATTCTCTTTCTTAATTCCTTTAACCAAAAGAGGCCTGAGTCAGGAGCAATGGTTATAGGTTTGCTGGTTAGTAGATGTTCTTGGAAGGTTGGCATAATTTAATATATACATATATTAAATGACAACTTGCCACCAAAGGTTGAGGTGACTGAATGTATTATTCCTTTGATCCATCTTAGAAATTGAGAGTGTACTTTTCTGTTGGTATCTAACTGTGTATTTTGGAGACTTGTAGCCAGAGCATCTTCAGAAACAAGCCTCTTTGATTCCTTATTATTTTATTTTATTTTATTTTAAAGATTTTATTGGGGAATTGGGGG